AGGTGTATTGTACCTCTTTTTCTAAAAAATGGAACTGGCATTTCATGATAGCTTAGAGGCTTCATCGCATAATCATCATTTAAATGTCCTAGTATTGCTAGAAAGCTACCACAATTAGCTATAATAAAAGCAATGCAAGCAGCATGCATCTATCAGTAAAACAATTGAATAACTCTACTCCAATCCTTCTTCGCATGTTATATTAACTATTTATTCTACCATTGTTTTGCTCACATTTAAAAATATTTGAGAAAAAAATACACGTGGTATTTCAAGCATAGTAATTATTAAATTTTAACTCAAAGCAATTGATTTTGATGTATAATAACTCTTTGATAATCCTAAAGCTAAAGATCATCATTCATCTCGTCAAAAGCATCCACTTCATCTATCTAAGTATGCGGAAATTCATTAATTTAATTTTTTAATATTTATTCATGCCCTACCAAATTTCATCTTTTACATGATAAGAGCAACCACCACAAACTTTAGTAACCTTTAGCCAATGGTACATAAGGTGACTAATTACTCCCTATATTAATCTGTCATAGAAAATATATTTCACACAATTGGTATGATTTTCTTATTAAACCATATTTTCATGTTGGATTTGTTATAAATACGACATTTTTCTTCATTAGCTAATGAATGGAAGTGTGAAACAATGTGATTTAGCATTTTTATTGTAAAACAAGATGATTTTTTTATAAATTGAATAAGATTAATAATAATAATAATAACAACAACAATAATGCAAAGCAACAATATATGTACAACAAAAAACAACAAACCAAATTAGATCAAACAAAAATATGCATAAAGCATATACAAAATGGTGGCAAATTAAAGAAAGAAGTGGCTACGATAAATTCATAAAGTTAAAAGAGTAAACAAAATTATATGCAATATTGCTTTCGCCTTCTTGTAGAGAAGATCGAAGACATGTAAAGTTGAAACTCTGTAAGGTCAATTTGGCTCAAGAGAGGACTATATTCGACACACATAGAATATTAAAAGCAAGGAGGACCTTCATTGTTCTCGACCCAGAAGCGGAATGCAACTGAATACAAAGTGGAGCACATATTTACATTTGGCTCAAGATGGCTTATATTCAACTCAATGAAAGTACAATGAACTATTAAAAGATCAAGACTTAGATCTGGAGAGAGCATGCACTATGCGAAAGATATGCATTAGTACACATGGGCTATAGCAGCATTACTTTGTGCTATTAAAATATATGATAACTATCATCTACCTCTTGGCAATTCTCTTCCACTCTCCCCAACTCAGAAAGGCTGATTCTCCAAAACCATAACTTATGCCAACTAGTCTAACCAACTTCTTCAAAAGAAATGATTGATGGAGTTTAAGGACTTATAGTGAAAGATTAAGCTGTCTCAGGCGTACGGATAATGAATCCACATTGTCCATTACTCCAATAATGTCGTGGTCCAATGAAAATCCATCCCTCAATTGTTCATCATAGACCATGGAAGATGTGAATTTGTGTCAAATCCACTCAATATCATTTGTCAGGTGGCACGTAGATGATCACCAAACTCAACAACAACAACAACAACAACAACCAAGCCTTAATCCCACTAGGTGACCTTAATCCTACTACGTGAGGTCGGCTGCATGAATCCTTTTTCACCATTGTGTCCTATTTAGTGCATATTTTCATATAGTTCTAATAAATTAAGATCATTTTTTTATACAATAAGCCCAAGTCTTCCTAGGTCTACCTCTACCTTTATTAACATAAGTTGAATCTAAAACATCTACTCTCCTAATAAACATCTATCTACTCTCCTAATCGGATCATCAGATGGTCGACGTTTAATGTGACCAAACCATATAAGACGACTCTCTCTAATTTGTCCATCACTGGAGCTACACCCACCCTATCATGGATATAATCATTTCTCATTTTGTCTCATAAGTGTAAAGCCACTCAACCACCTAATCATTCTCATCTCAACAACGCTTAACTCAGCATTATGCTTCTCTTTTAAAGGCCAACACTCAATGCCATAAAGCATTGCAAGTCTCACCACCATCTTATAAAATTTTCCTTTCAGTCTAAGAGGAACTTCTCTATCACACAAAAGGCCCGAAGCATTCCTCCACTTCAACCAGCCAACTTGAATTCTACTATTGACATCCTTATCTATATCACCATCGCTTTGAACAACATACCTGGGATATCTAAATCGTTCACACCTTTTAATAACTTGATCACCCAAATTTATACTTTTGTCACTAGAGCTACTACTACTAAAATTACATTCCATGTATTCAGTTTTAGTTCTACTCAAATGAAGCCCTTTAGACTCCAATTTAGGCCTCCATAATTCAAGTTTTCCTAAGCTTTTTCTCGTCTTATCCACAAGAAGGATATCAACAGCCAAAAACATACACCAAGGTACATCCTCCAATAAATGTCCAGTAAGAACATCCATAACTAAAGTAAAAAGATATGAGCTTAAAGTCGATCTCGGATGTAAACCAACAGAAATAGGAAAATATTTGGTCAATCCTCCTTCAGTTCGAACACAAGTAACAGCTCTAGTACACATATCTTTAATGATTTGAATATAAGTCATTTTGAATATTGATTTGAATATAAGTCATATCAGCACCTTTCTTCTCAAGAACTCTCCAAAGGATATCTCTTGGAACCGTAAGCTTTTTCTAAATCAAATCAATAAAAATCAAATGTAGATTCTCCTTGTTATCTCTGAGCTTCTCTATCAAACCTCTCAATAAATATATAGCTTCCACAGTAGACCTGCCGGGCATCAATCCATGTTTATTATGAGAAATCTTTGCAATACATCTTAACCTATGTTCAATTACCCCTCCTATAATTCTTATGTACGTGCATCACCATTATTCTTAAAAATGGAGACCAAAATACTCTTCCTCCACTCCTCAGGCATCTTTTTAGTTTTTAAAATAATATTAAAGAGTTTAGTGAGCCAAGAAACTCCCAAATCAAGTTTAGTGAGCCAAGAAACTCCCAAATCTCCTAAATATTTTCACACTTCAATTGGGATACCATCAGGTCCTACAAACTTTCCACCCATGGAATTCTTTAAAGACCCCTCAACTTTTTTTACTAATGTGACGGTAAAATGAAACGTTTTATTATTATTAAAAATATTAAGATCACAAAAGTTGATCGTATTTTCAGAAGCTTCATTAAAAAGTTCATCAAAATAACTCACCCACCTATGTTGAATATCTTCTTCTAAGAAAAACACTTTTTGATTTTCATTTTTAATATACTTTACTTGAGTTAAATCTTTATTTTTCTTTTATCTTTGTTTGGATAGTTTATCCATATATTTTTCACCCTCCTTAATATCTAATATATTATAAAAACCACTAAAAGCAGAATTTTTAGCGTCATAGATTATTCTTTTAGACTCTCTGTGGGCCGTTTGTATTTTTTTTCAGTTCTCTAAGCTTTTACATTTAAATCATTTTTTTATAACATAACTTCTTATATTTTATCTTAATATATCACGTAAAGGTAGGAATTATTATTTCACCACAAACTATTTTCTTTATGAAAAACTTTTCTTTAGATTCTCCAAGTACAACTTTTGCGACTTGTTTAATAGTGTTTGTTACTTTATCCCACATAGCATTTGCTTCTTCATGAACATCCTAAATTTTGAAATATTGAATTTTACTCAAAAAAATAATTTTATTTGTCTTTTAGGTTCTCCAATCTAATTCTAAGATGATGAGTCTTAGTATTTTTTATTTTACAACTCTTAATCTTCAAATTTAGAACTAATAATCGATGTTGGGTACTTAAATTCTCACTTGGAATGATCTTACAATCTTTACAATCTCGACGATCCCTTATTCTCATAAAAAAATAATCAATTTGTGTTTTATAAGATCCATTTTTATAGGTAATAAGATGCTCATCTTTTTCTTGAATAAAGTATTAGCAATAACAAAATCATATGCTAAAGCAAAATCTAAAATGACTCTACCTTCTTCATTAGTCACTCAAAAATCGTAGCCACCATAAATATTTTTGAAATCTTCTACTACTCTACCGACATGTCCAATTTAAATCTCCTCCAATAAAAATTCTTTCTTCAAAAGGTATCAAAGTCTTCTAAGTCATTCCAAAATTTATCTTTAGACCTTGTATTTAAACCTAATTGCAGAGAATAAACACTTATAATATTAAAAATCTTAGTATCAATAATAATCTTAAGAGTTATAAGTTTATCTCCAACTCTATTAATTTTTATAACATTATCTTTCAAACTCTTATTTATAATTACACCTACACTATTTCTAGTTATTTCTAGTCCAGAACACTATTTCTAGTGCGACTCTTACCAGAATACCAAAGTTTAAAAACTAAGTTATCAACTTTTTTAGTCTTTTCCCCAACCCATTTAGTTTTTTGAATACATAAGACATTAATCTTTCTATGAATCATAATATCAACTCATGTCATTAATTTACCATTGAGAGAACCTATATTCCAAGATCTTATCCTAGTATTAGTTGCATTAATTTCATGGACTGACTTCTTTACCCGCATTCATCCGTAATGTGGGAACTCTTGCTTATTTGACACTACACCCGGGCGCCGGTGTAGCGGCCCCTGCACTTTTTTCACTGTATTCAAGTCATACAAAGCGTCGCTTCTAGGGGACGCTCTAGCACTTACACAATGATCAATTAAACAAAAGATTTTATGGGTTCAATTCACACACAATGTACACGTTAGTATGCATACACCAACCTCCCCTTAGACTCCATATTGACCGGAGCCTCATCTTTTTTTTTCCCTTTTTGAAACTTCTAATAGAAGTAGTTGCTACATTAGACAAAAAAATAAAAATAAAAAAACAAACACATGCACACAATAATGTGGCAAAAAGTAAAATATCTCTGCAAAAGTTCATAAAAAATTCTGGCAATAAATACTTAATCAAAAACTGACAATAAATACTTACTCAGAATCTGCTTGATCATCAACATCTGAATCTTCATCAACATCAGTATGGACATTTGCATGACCACGTCTGTCATGATCATCAGCAGCAATTAGTTGTGCCAAAGGCTGACGATGTGGTCCCAATGCTTGGCGTGCATCATGCAATCTTTCTCTCCTTACTACTTCAACGTTACCATTTTCTTGCCGGCCATTTTCCTCGGGTCTAGGGAGCAAAAAATCAGTCAAACCAAGAGCCCAACCAACTGCTGTAAACCATCTGCGTAAAAGGGCCTTAATGGTTGCACGTGGCCTGAAATGTTCGATAGCAAAAGGGATACATATTTGAAACAGTAGTACATCTGCAGGAATCTCCGTAAATGGATCAAAGATACTGCAATATAGGTAAAGTAGAGGGTAAGTTTAAGAGAAAAAGAAAAAAAAATTACAAGAGAAAAGCATGTGCATACATGTAACAATCAAATTTGCCACATTTTCAATAGAAAATATGTACTTACGTAATGTCAAGCGGAAAAATGGAAGGTGCCAAGCGCATAGCAAGATTAACAGGTAAGAAGACAAGGATCACAATCAAGCTACCATAAACAGCAACAGATAACAAGACCCTCCGAGCATGTTTATGAACTGGGTCATCAATTAGATCTCGGAATGGATTATAATTTGGATCAGCTGGGTCTCGTAGAAAATATAGAACTCCATTTCTCAATACCTGTGAAACAAAGAATAATAATAACAATGTTTCATTTAGAACTGAAAAGCCAGAAAAATGAGGAAGTATTGGATTTCTATTGGAGGATAACTATATTTTCAAGGGCATACCCCACGTAGAAGACTGACAAAGATGCTTATTTGTAGCATATAAATAATCCCCACAAGCCAATGAATTGAGGAGCTTGCCAATGGAGAGAGTGCAAAGAATTCAACTCTTTTAGCAAATGTTGTTCCAAGCATCCTTAAGGTGCAAACATCAAGCCACCATCCACACATCAAAGGGAAGACACCAAGCTCAATCACCAGAAGAAAAGCAACCTTGACCATAGTCATCAGATGTCTCATTCCTGACAAAAATTGCCTGAAGAGAGAAGGAATTGCTTCTGCAATCGAAGCAATTCCATAAAGCCTTCCAATGGTCAAACGCTCACCCCGTGTATATCGAATTAAAGTAAAAAGCCCGAGATAAAAGAAGACCAGACAGAATATGAGCATATACCCAACGGCGAGAGTTGTAACATTTGAAAGACGTGATGAGCCAGCGATAGTCCCACTCAGTGAAATGGAACTGTTAATGCTGTTTGAGATCTCATCCGTTCCGGTTGAATTGAATTTTGAGGAGCCAACAACGGACTCAATTACTTGGCTAAGAGCACCATCATTACTACTTTCAGACAAGCTATTCACTGTCACCAAGGCGTTCTTCAAGGTAATGTTAGCCAAAGAGAGAGCTGAGTCAGCCAGCGGCACGGCTGTAGACATAATTGAACTTGATGGAGAAGAAAAAAGCCAAGATAGATAATAGAGAACAATCCTCCCTAGTGAGAAAGGGATAAAAATTACAACTCCAAGGAAAATAGCATTGCTAGCCAGAACCTGCAAGAAAAAGTTAAGAATAAAAATAAACAAAAGAATCCTACAATTATATAATGGCATGAACAGCAGACTTGAAAACCAACATGGTAGCAAGGGATAAGTCATCAATGAAAAAGGAAGCATGTACAAACTCATAAAAATATTCAAAGCGGTGCGATGTGCTACCATTTTAACCATTTACCAACATAATAATCATATGAAAACATTTATGTACATTCTCGCACTTTTAAAAAAGCATCACAGCATCAAGCAAACAGCTGAAAAAAAAAAAAATTTGCCACAAGCACCATGACAAACTATGATGCATCAATAAGAGTTTGATACATGCAAGTCATGTGCGCTCAACACACATCCAATAAGCGTTCGACATGGCATAGACACATCCAACTAAAAATAATAAGAAAATTAATAAATAAAGGACATGTTGTATATGCGTGTACTAACTTAAGTCAAATAGCAAATGATGGAATGGTAGAACTCTAAAAGATTCAAATAATATTAAAACTTAAAAGGCCATTAATATTGAAGATAACTAAAATATGCCTTCAACAATTAATTTGTTTAAATTGCCTTCTTTCATAAAGGTTTTTTCTTTGGTAGAACAAAAATTTATTTAATTTGTGCAATTACTACATTATACTTTTATGTCCCTTGGTGGACACACACAAACAAACAATATATTGCAGAAGATCACAATCTATCGCTGACCAAATCTTTAACCATCCAAGTAAAATAAGCCCCATTTAAAATTTAAACAGCCAAGCAACTTTAGACCCAAGTAAAATATGCACCATTTTAAAATTTAAACAGTCAAGCAACTTTAGACACCAAATTACAAGTTCCTATATACTAGGACATATGCCAAATGCTAATCAAAATGCTAAAATACAAATTAGTGCTAGTAAATGGAATGCATACCAATGTGAAAAGGTTTCTAAATTATGGAACTTTTAAAATGATTTCTTTCAAAAGAAAATTAAAATTGACTTCGTTTTAATAATTAAGACTTCAAACCATATCTCCCAGACCCTAAAGGAACACGCTCATTTTACAATGCCAGCAAACAAAAAAAATAAAAATAATAAAAATAAAAATATAATAATAGAAAACATTCCATCGTCAATATCACAATTTCAAATCTTTAATCACGCATACAACTAAACAAAGGTAACCTCGTCAATATCACAATTTCTAATCTTTAATCACGCATACAACTAAACAAAGGTAACCATTCAAGCATCGAACAAACTCTGAACATATGAATGACTTGAGCAAAAAGGCAAAGGAAAGACATTTTCGATTTAATACTGAAGCACAATGAACCATTAAATACTCAAATACATGCTTCCTCTTCATTTCATTTTGTACTCACACCTTTTTAATTTGATTCCAATTAGCTGTATAAATAGCACTTACTCTTCTCCCCCTTGTATAAAACCAACAAAAAGACAAAAATATGTTGTAAAAGGACAGCATAAACAACTAATGAAGATCCTACTCCAGTTTAGTGCTCAGTCAGGCCGCACTCTTTCTGTAAACACAGCAATTGACTAATCTTTTGTTATGTACAGTGGCATATTTTTGTTGACAAATAACCAATCAAAAACCTAAAACTAATGTTCAGATATCTTGAATTTAGACTTGATGGACATTTATAAAAATTATTATAATAAATAAATTCCATTAATATCTAAGGCAATCAATGAGCAATAAAGAGGCAGGACAATCAAACTAAGAACACAGGAGGAATATTTGTAGAGCACACTTACAGTTATTGCATTTTCAACTAAATGGAAAACAGGCCCTTGCATCCCAACAAGTTCATCAAAAGGCACATCTTCTGCACCATCAGCATCATCCAGTCCATCAAACATCTGCTCAACGTGTGCTTCAAGGCGTGCTGCTTGCATTTCCAAACGGGCAGCAACATTTTCTGCATTTCTTCTAATTATTTGCCCTGCTCCAGCAATCCCTGGGGCTCCAACTCCATCTTCACCATTTCCCTCAACAGCCTGGGCCCTATTGGCGGGGCCAGCAGCTCTCCTAGCAGCACGTGCACCCTGCCTTTCTTGACCTTCATCATCTGCATCATGTCCCCCAAGTTCTCGAAGATGTCTGAAATAATCTCGAAGAGATGTTGCGCCAAGAAAGATAAATACAATGCTAGCAGACAGTAAAAACCCATGTAAACAATCCGTGAGAATCAAGGGAGCAGACAAGTGACTCAAGAACAGCCTCTGAGCTTCACCAAAAGTCCTTACAAACGTCAAGCGCCATATCCAAAACGTAATGAAAGGGATTATGAGAAGCCATACAGAAAGAACGAAAGCAAGGCGTAGAAAGAATTGTAGAACATGACATGCTTTCATTGCCATTCCAATTACAAACTCTCGAAAGGGTAGCCTAGCAGGAGCATTTTCAGCATAAAGAGGGGAGAAGGAAAATACATGCTTGCATACCTGCATCGAAAATAAAATACATTAATATGTTTTAAGCACATGATTTGATATATTTTCAAAAGAATACTAAATCAATATTAAGGTTTTGTTTGAGAAAAATTTCTATCTAATTTGTGTTTTAAAACCCGACCGTTGCTCTGTTTGGGGAATTGTTTTATTGTTATTTTTTGCTTCTTTCTAGAAATTAATGTGATGAGAAGCTACTACACACACAGATATATATATATATATATATATAACAAAGTTGTTTTCTAAGAAGTTACTTTTTCCACCACAACTTATAACTACTTTTACAAAAAGCCGCAGTCACACCAAAAAAGGGATAAATATCAACTCATAACTACTTCTCCATGACCAACAACCAAAAGAAGCAATACAGAAAGCTTAAAACAAGCAAATGCCACATCTATAATATTAGAAATTCCCTTTATATCGGCATCTAGCTCCAATTAAAAAGCTTAATTAAAATGATTTGAACAAATTCAATAAAACTGCCAACCTAAGTTAAATCCACACAAAAATAGCATCACCTTTTAAAAATATAGATTTTTGAACTTTCAGCAATCATGTCTCGCAGCATTCTACTATGAAGCCAAAGACTAAATAATATAAACACACAAGATAATCTCTTGCAATTTTTACATGAAAACTGCTGGACAAACAAGAAAAACATGTAAGACATTCTCGTGAGATCAAGGAAATCACTAAACAACCAAGTGACATTACAATTCCAAAATACATTAGTCCCACACAACCAAGAAATAGTAGTGTGGTATGGACTTAAGGCCAGCTCAAAACTCTTAAGCCCACAGAAGGAAAAGCAAAGCCAAGCATTTCCCATCAGGGAAAAAAAATAGTCCCCTCGCACCATATTGTATTAAGTTTATCCTGCAATCACCTACAAATTATACTGTTCTCAATACTCGTGATTTTTATTTCTATTGACCAACTAATGATCCACATGTTTGCTCATGATTATCACCGTCACTCTCTATTGTCATATATTAGACCAAGAAAGGACGTTGATGATTAGTGTGGGAGTGAGGAACATGTTATAAATACAGCAAAATGAATGAGAGGGTTTGGATTTGGGACTACGCAAGGGATTGCCGGCTAAAGTTATTCATAATTTTGTCTCAAGTTTATTTTTTAAGAACTACTCATTGTTAACTATTTATTACATATAATGTCTACACATAAATATAGCTAACATGAAAACCACGTTTTAACTATCTACAGTAGCAAATGATTACAGGTTCTCATTATGATTAAACAAATAACGGATAATAATTGGTCTGCTAGTATGCATAATTAACTAGTTGATTAATTGCATCATCAATTAATTAAAATGATATTCAAAATTTGTATATAAATATAGTCAAAATATATTGAAGTTAAAAGTTCCATATAATTAAAGTTGAAATACCACAACATCAGTAAATAAGTCAAACGAACTAGTGGATAAATGAAGTTCACCATGGAAATTTTGATTGATATTCTTTGCAGATTAGATAAGCTCGTTAATCATTACATCTCGTTTTCAACGGCTTTAAGCAAACTAAAGATTAATCTTCAAATTTTCATAAAAATATTATATCAAAATAACTTTTTGTCCATCATAAGGCATACATTAGCTTTAATAGAGTTAAGGTTCTAAGTTCGTTGGACGGGCATGCTGGCTTTATCTTATCTTAATAAGCAAACAAGCAGACCCGAATAACCGGAATAGCTAAATAATAAAATTAAAATAAGTACAATCGGTCCGCCTCCTAAAGAAAAATGAAGACCAGCAACTGGACCCCGAACCGTAATCTAAAATGATCACGATCAGAATGAATGCCACAGCAAATCCAAAAACCTAAATTCCATCGCCAGATTAAAATATCGAACTGATGAAATAAAGAATGAGCGAAATCAAGGGAGAATCGACTATCAAACCTCGCACTGGCGAGCGTTGCTGTGATTAAGCCACTGGAGCAGGCAATCCTGGTGGACGAACTTGATACTTCCGCTGCAAGCGCAAGGGTATCGGAGAGGGTTATCAGCGTCCCCTGGATTCCGACAGATCCTACAGACGTCCCCCTCGTCCTCTTCCTCTTCAAGCCGAGGAGCCGCCGCGTTCAGACCGGTCCGGTCAGCGATCTCCTCCATGTTCGTTTGCTCTCCAAGACGTCGCCGCTTATCGTCTCTCTTCTTCCTCCGGCAAGATTGAGAGAATAGCGGGGTCAAAGAGGGGTAGTAGAAGAAGGTGGGGGGCAAAAGAGGGAGAGGGTTTCGGCCTTTCCGGGATACAAATATCGGCCTTTTTTTTTCTATTGGTTCTAGAAATTATGTTATTTATTAATGTCATAATGTATTTCGACCGGTTCCGAATTCATTTTCTACGCCCGGAAAGCTCGAAAGCTTACAAGCGCCCGTCACGCGTCATCCGCGATGGAAGGATTAATAAAAATATAATTTGAATTTTTATTTGCATACATCTAATATTTAACCAAAAATCTTTAGAATAGCTAGAAAATGAATCTCTACTTGTTTACGCTCCTCTAAGCCAAAATTTTAGAAATTGGATATGTAATAAAATTTAGGGAGTTTTTTAAAATTTTAAGATTTGGTATTCTCTATGTCATCTACCATGAATGCATGTGAAATATTTTAGTTTGGTGTCCGATCTTGCTCCATTCATGTAGGTCACGCATAGGAATCATTCTGCTTGCCTTGCTCCGCGTTCTGGTCCTGATTCATGACAAGTCAAAGGTCGTGCTAACAGTCTCTTCTCCTTGCACTGTTTTATGCTTCGATCCTGCTCCATTCAAGAGAAGGCAAAGCCTCAGCCGACAATCGCTTCTCCTTCCTTGCCCTGCTCCGTCGGAGTTCATGTCCAATTGTGCTTCCTTCTTTTGTTTGTACCCTTTAACGCTCCCCCTCACTCCCCCCCCCATTGTTCTCCCTCCCTCTCTCTCTCTCTCTTCTCTTTATTTATCGTAATTTAATTAGCCTTCAAGAATCTTTACATTTCTCATTAACCTTCTAAATGGCCCAAATTTTGTCAACAATCAATCCTAGCCCAAAATTCTTGAGTGGGAGTTGCTCTATTGGTAGCGTTAACAGTCACTTTGTCACGACAGATATCTTTTGTGGAATCTTATTTTCTTTCGGAATGTTTTGCATCAGGTTTCTTATGAAAGCCTTTTATTTTTAGTTGTCAAACTATGATGAGCCCAACCATTGTGCTACTATTTTTGTCTCCATCGTGGATGACTCTTGTAACAACCTTTGGATAAAGAACTCAATATGTAGCTGAAACTTGTAGGTACTCAATATATAATAAAAACTTTGTACTTCACTTGACCATTTAACCTTCAAGCACTATTTTGAGTCATTTGCACCTTCTAGGCTTTTTACTTTATTATATTTGATAGATCTTATGTTTTTGTAAAGCTGCACTTTCAAATATAATTTCTTGAATCTCCTTTCACATGCCTTTGTACAACACTTAATCAATTTATTTACATGGGCTTTTAGTTTTTCCTTGCCCAAAATAAATTCTACGTGATCTTTTATTTATTCCTATTTCTAAAAGTGATGTGTTATGGAGGCACTTTGTTTGATTTGCTCGCATAAATTATGACAAAAGTCAAGAAAATGTTATTTCAATTTTCAAGTAGGATTTGTTTGGGTAGTACAACAACACCCTTAAATTATTATCCTGTGATTAAAATGTAGAGCTAATCAAAATAAATTTTTCAAAGGTATCTTACAAATAACTCAGAAGAAGAAAAAAGTCATATTAATAGAGTCATGATATCTTTTCAACCATTTATGTAAGAATCATATTTTTTTTGTATTCATTATTTGCAATGTTTTTTAAGTGGCCCTTTTTCATGTTGTGCTAGCTTTTACTAAAGCAATTTTTACTATATTGTATTTATGTTTTTGTGCAGGATCCACCAGATTGAATTTTTGGGCTAACTTGTTGATATGATTGCTAGAATGACTTTATTGGTAGATGAGAACACATATTTGTTGATCAAGTTTAAATATGGAGAATATTGGAGTCAAGTTAAAAATCAAGCAAGAAAGCATATGAGAGTAGAAAACAGAGAAAATTATATTTCAAATAGACATTTGTTGAAGGAAAAGATTGAGATAATTTATCATTGGCTTAGAGGTCATAATTTTGAGTTATATTATCACGTATGTGGTACATCACCAAAGGAGCATATGATTATCATTGATGACTGTTGGCATCCATTTTTAGATGTCATGAGTGTAGGGTGTCCACCTGCTTGACTCAGGATATTTTACGGTTTGTTTGTAACATATGATAGTTCAGGCACCCACCCGAGACCTTTTGGCACGTGTTGAGGGGCACGTAGTCAGGGTCGTTTTGCTAGACTTTAGCTTTCACTTAGGCGAAGGCCGGTCGGCATTCTGTTCGTCGAACGACTATGATCGGATTAACGAATGTTATTGGTCGCATCACACGTAAAATTGGCTCCAATTGGTCTGATCGTCGGGATGAGTTTCATTTCAAAATTATGACACATCTGAGCTAAAATGCACAAGGCTTACTAAATAAAAAATAACAATTATAATAATAATAATATTATTATTATTATATATTCCTATATAATCCATCGCTACACCCACTCTCTCGAATCGTGAAACCTAACTTTGTCACCTCCCTATTTGCAAACTCCCTTCTCCCTCTCCTTCGTTGTCGGCAAAGACCAGCGAGCCTCATCGCCATCCCGCCAACTCCTCCAGCCGCTGGCGAAGCCCAGCGCCGACCACCTTCCCTCATCTCTCGCGAACCCGCCTACTCCCTCTCTGGTTCTCGCAAAGTCGCCTTCTCTTCGTGTCTGATGTCGGAGCTCCTTCTCGTTGGCGAAGCTCTTCGTCGTCGGCTCCCCTCTGGTGGTCGAAGCTCCTCTAGTCGTAGGCCAAGCATTTCTCCTGCTCCTTCTTCTTTTTGGACAGCTTTATCCTTAACACCGCCAACTGTCCGACCATCTTTGCTGGATCTCCTCTTCGCCGGCCATTTGCTGCCTTCAGCCGACCTTCCTTTGCAGCGCAGCCCCTCTTGGGTTGAGATCTGGACCTAATCAATGCATGCCCAAGCTCCTTCGTCAGTGCTCTATCTCACTGGTGACCACCTCCTCCTCGCCGGAGAAGCATTGTCCACGGAGTAGTGTCTGCTAGCTTTTTTAGTGATGCTCTAAGGGCCTTAGCCTCACACATGGTTTCTCCCTCACTGGAGCGGCGACCGCGCTGTGTCGCAAAGGTCGATATCAAACCCCTCGAAGGTTTAGGTTGCCCTTATTTTGATATACTATGATATTTATCAAATGTACTTTGCATACCTCCTTGCCCTCATTGGCTCTTTCTATTATTCTATGCACATTCTACGAGGTACACTAGCACACAGACCAGACACCGGCGGCTCAATGTGTGGGCTCTTCTTCAGCATAAAAAGAACGCGTCTGCAACCTTCATGATTGTGAGACTTCCTAACTCCTAGCTGACTTTATGTTTTAGTGGTGTCTAAACGTGTGGGTTCAATTGCCCACACAGCGTGCGTGCACCGATGTGAGTAGGCACGAAGACGTACATATGTGATTGATTGTTGATTTACATGGAGCTAGCCTTTAGGTTAAGACTTCTCATGCGTGGCCAAACACCCTCGGTAGAACTGAGTATCTTCCCTGTTGCAAGCCTTAGGTCTCAGACCAGCTGGGTCGAATTCCCAATTTCCGACGGTTTTGGCGCTTTTAATATCCCTTGGAGGAATTAGTTAAGTTTGATCTTAAAGATTGGGAAAAACATTGTAGCTAGTCCGTCCTATAAGATCATCAGTGTTCTTAGAGCGGAAAAAGATTTTTAGCTAGTCTGCCCTATAAACGGTGAAGAGTTTTTCCTACGAGAAATCAAATGTGTGAACCTTCCACATTGCCACTCTAAAGCTGGAGGCGGCAATGCTACAGATCTAAGTGTGTCAGTCTTAGATACCTATGAGAGGTCATTAGGACGAATTTGATGTGTCGTCGAGCGGTTGGGTTTCATTGCATATGCATGAATCATTTCCTAATATTGGTGTATGGATCATATTGCATGTCATATGCATGATCATTTGAGCACTGCGGTTCGATCGACCACCTTGGCACGGTCGACCGATCACTTTGGTTCAAACGGCCGCCCGGGCTCTGTTAACCGTTCACTTTGGTTTGACAGCCAACTCGGCCGAGTCAACTAATCACTTTGGTTCGACTGGTCGCCTCGGCCCAGTCGGGCGACCACTTTGGTTCGACCTGTTGCCCCGACCTGGTCGACTAATTACTTTGGTCTGACCGACCAGCACAACCCGGTCGACCGATCTCTTGCATATTTGTATACTTTTGCATCATATCACATGTGTGTGCATGTGTATGTGTCTGTTTGCCTGTTTGCATGTTTTCCCCATATGTGTTTGTATTTTGCATTTGCACTGGTGTGATTCTCCTCAATGAGTATCTCCACTCCCACCTTCGGGTCACTGCCTCCTCGGCATACCCTTTCTTTGGGTCGCTGCAGTCACGGTATGTCCATCTTCGGGTCACTGCCTCCTCACCATACTCATCTTTTAGGTCGCTCCTGCTTCGACATGCCCGCTCCTTTTGAGTCACTGTCGTCACAGCATACTCTCCTTCACCACTTTGGTGCACTTATCATATGTCTGATGCATATCAAGCATGTTTGCATGTGTGCTCGGTGATTGCCTCTCAGATAAGGTCTAATTCCTCTTTATAGGTTTCTTTTTACTCGATACAAACTCATATTTTTGGTTTCAGATACAAGAAATAAACTTTTGGAGAAATGAAGTAAAAATGGTGCAATTTGGAGTAAAAACAAGCAAGAAAGAAAATTCTGATTTTAAAGCAAGACAATTTGGAGTAAAAACAAGCAAGAAAGAAAATTCTGATTTTACACATCTCGATTTATTTTTTTATGTTTAATCTAATTTATATTTCTAAGATGTTTTTGAATGAAATTGCACTTTAAAGAAGAGTATTTTCATGTTTTTTGTTGCAGGTATATCATTTTTAGACATTTTGAGCAAAAATAACAACAATGACGAAATTTAGAACCAAAACAGCGAATATTGAGATTTTGATGCATAATATAATATTATTATATAGTGTGTTTAATTATAGTGTGTTTATTTTAAAGAAAATCCAAAATACAAAAAATATACTTCCTTTCAAGTGTAATATCATTAAAAATCATTGAAAATGAGCATAAATTATATATAAAAAAGTAGGTAATTTTTAGGCGTGTC